CCCCCCCCCCCCCCCCCCAACTTAAAGCAAAGAAGAGAGAGAGAGAGAGAGAGAGAGAAATGTGGAACTTCTAAAACTTTGCCAGATGATCTTAATGTCGTACAACACTCTATCTTGGGTTGTTCTTAGTTGGAAGAATGTGATGTAGTCTAGATTTTACTTATTAACTTAATTCCTATTTTGTCCACTTGATATACGCTCTTTTCAGCCATTATTGACAAAATTCCAGTTCTTATCAAAAATGAAGTAACAACAGACTACAAGTAGAGCATTTTTGTCAAGATTTGGAGAAGCTGAAATAAAATTTATCCTATCCCAGCCTTATTCGGCATTGGGTACTGTTAAGAGTGTAAATATATTTGTACATAACTCTCTTTATATAGCACCCTAAGGAGAAAATGACCTTATAATCCTATGGAACCCAACTTATACTGTCTTATACTTCGGATAACTACTAGACAAGTGTAAATAAACTAGAAGCACAAAAATGGGAATTGAAAATTCAGAACTCTACTGATCTTAAGTGGGAGACATTGGCTTCTGATCAACTTTGCTCTCGAAAGAAATACAATAGCAGCAGATGTGGTGAAGTGAAGCCAGTGCCAATTTTTTTCTGGCTGGGACGGCAACAATGACAAAAACTCGAGTAAATGGGTCGAGCAGTCTAAGCTATTTAGATATGCATATTTTACCAGCATAATCGTAGTTATGAGGGTGCATCTTTAAAAAAATTCAAGAAATAAAAAATCTAAGAACTATAATATAATTATTAAGCCTTTGTGCCACTAGCACAGCACAAGTAACAGAGAACCACGAGCAAAAAGCCAAGACCTGATGCTTCAAGGAATCTGCGCTCCCACTATATTCAACGGCACCATCTTTTAAAGCAAAAAACAAGTCTTTTATGTCTTTAGAACCTGCAAAGAGCAAATGTAATCACATTTCGTAACTGCATTCCTTACATTCATGCTCTATTACAATTACAGTCATTATTTTATAGCCACAAGCCAGAGACACGGTGTCGATCGATGGTAAATGTAAAGCATTTGCTAAAGTTGGAAAAGTAGCTACTAGTGCTTTCAGCAAGTCAATTCTTAGATTGGTTACAGGATGTAACCTTAGTGAGGAGGTAACAACAGGTGCAATTCATTTTGATATAAAGAATGACAAAGAAAAAACAAGATGGCCCATAACGACGAGCTGATAAAAGCACAGGCAGCACATCTCCCAATTAATCAGACAATACATTTTTCAGCAAGTCTTATCAGAACGAATGGTCTGCAATTGCTCATAATATACGGGCCTGGAAAGTTTCCACTTCCAGAACGCACTCTCAGCCACGACCCTGCTTTGAGGACAAAGGTAGCTGGATATCAAGAAATGCGACTGATGCTGACTTTGGAATTTTTTTTATGCATCAGAGTTTAAGTACGACAATGGTAAATGCTGAAAAAATGTTTACCTTTTAACCACAAATAACTGAATAGACTAACAGGAATGTGAGATATGCACCATCAATGTCGGCTGAAAGGCTTCAATTGTTAATTCGAATCGATAAACAAGGAAGACAAGCTCTGTGGTATGTTATTCACAAAAAAAATAGAATTGAATAACAAACAGGAAAGATTGAATTGAGATAGCTCTAATGGTTTATCATCACTACAGTGAAGTCAATTGTGATCATCATGAAATATTAAAATCCATATAAACAAAAGATTTATCATATAATCAAGTTACAGACTGTATAAATTTTAAGGTATTGTTCTATATTTTACTGTTCACACATTGAACAAACGTGCACAAAATAAAATCCAATTAATTATCTGCTTTTGGAAGCTTACCTGCATGACCAATCAAAGCAGAAAGAACAAGGCAATGGCCAAGAATGAGCCTTTCCCTACAAATTACAGCTCGCCTTTCTACTAAAGAACCCCTTGAGTCAAGAATGTAATGCTCAGAATTAGGCCCACCAAAACCAGCTGGCTCTTCTCTATTGAGTTCCTATATAAATAAGATAATGAATATTTAGAACATAGCCCAAAATCAATAAATGTCAATGACAATAGCAACCATATCAATCACCAATGCAGGTTGCCTAGTAACTCTCAAGAAGAGTCTTGCGCCTTCATATTCATTCCATGGACCACATTGATTTCATGATTTTAAGGTACATACATACCTTAAAAGTGCTTCACAATTCAGTATGGTGACTTCCCTTCTTCCATTAACACCATAAAAATTATATCAGATGAACTCATTGCTTATTATCCATTTATAAAGCTCAGCATTTTCGAGCAAACTTTCACAAGCACTAAAGCCACTCGGAAGCCAAAGGATATGCGAACGTGCTTCAATATAAATGAAGAAGAAAATGGTATGCTAGAGTGCTTTGATAATAATGCCTATCATTCTTGAGAATAAAAATGCAATGGTAACAATGTGAAGACCTTTATGAGTGAAATCAACCGGTGTCTAAGTCCAGCACTAATAAGATCTTCCAAATATTTCTGTATGTCAGCTACAAGATCAGCTTCAAATCCCTGGTCAAGAACAACAGCCTGCAAAAGATGCCAAATGATTCCAATCAAAAATACACATAAAAGACTTTTTTTTTTTTGCATATCCAGCCAGAATGAAACAATACCCTCAATAGTGTGTAAAGTGCTGTTATTAGGTCTCTTCTCTCTGTATACCAAAGTCCAGCAGCAAGACGTAAAATATCTAAGGGCTCTCGACCAAGCAAGCCCCACTGGAAAGAGGAGAAAAAAGAAAACGCTTCAAGAAAAATGAATAAATCATGAAATTAATTGACGTTAGCAGTTAAATATACAAAAATTAACTTCCTTCAATTGTGCTCAACTCATAAACTGCTCGTACATCAATATCGATAGAATAATAAAAGTGCACATAGAAGCAAAGATTTTACCTCTTGATTGGCAGAAACAAGCAATTGCACGCAGTCTATTTCATTGAGATGGAGGTCATCACTCAACTTCAACGCCTAAGGGTCAAATAATAAACAAATTATGCAATTAAAAAGGGAATTCTTGATAAAGCTAAAGTGTCAGAACAAAAATCAAACAGCCACTTGATTAGATCGTTAGTAAAGGTATTTGGGATAAATAAAGGGAAGCGTTGTTGAGTGGTGAGGACACTGTCTTACGTAGACCTAACATAGTTCCCCTTCTCATGAGTGATTTAAACGAACAGGTGTGAAGAGGAAGAGTTGTAGTTGTTAAAGATATGATTTCACTAGATTTTTTAGTAGATGTAGTAATTGTCTCCAGTAAATAAAGCCTCATTAACTTCTCTCAAACAAAGAAGGCAAAGTTCTTCACAGATATGATCCCAAGCACACCCTTCAAAGGAAAAACATCCTTCTTGCACTTCAATAAGGGGGTATCAAAGGATCTGACAATGAACTCAGCGTAGGCAGTAAGTTTCCACACCAATATACTCCATATAATTCCAGAAGTAGATTTCTGGACCTCAAAATCTTGCAACACCCTCCTAAGTTAAGAATTCACATTGCACCATTAGAGTAGACGTGAATTCTGCCAAAGAAAACAAATTCATTGATGGAAAAAAGAACAGCTAACTAATTTCATCTTAACCCTGAACATCAAGGACCTGACCTGTTCCCATGACCAATGGAAAAGTCAAACAAATTAAGAGCTCTGCTACATAAGAAGTCACAAATTTATATAGAGCACCAATATCCCCACGCATAACCATATTATCTCCCTTTGACAACCCTCCACACAAACTTTTGGTCTTTGACAAATTTCAACCCAAAAGAACATTTTGGAAGTAATAAGATCTCTAGTATCAAGGCCTCCAAATCTGACAGGTTTCTTGCTCATTCCAGTTCACTTCTTCATATTCCTTACAGTCTCAAAGAATACCTCAGTAACTTCTCAATTTTGAGAGTTAAAAAGGTGGGAATCAGGAATATAGACATAAAAATATAACTGGGTAAACTAGATAAGGTGCTATTGAACAGATTTAACTAATCCCCTGGCACATAAAATCCTTTCAAACCTCTTCATAGAAGAGTTTCAAACTTCAGGTGATTTATAAGTGCATCCCAGAGGCAAGCTAAGGTAGAATGTGGGTAAGCATAAAACCAATGATAAATGTCAACGTAACAGGCCAGAAACATCCACCAAAAAACTTCACTTCTGGCAATATTAACCCTCCATCTAGACACTGCAGAAAACCACTGAATACGCACTTTTTAATTTGACTAACAATTCTCACATAACAACAGGTATAAGTAGCAAAAGAATAAGAGAGACTCTTATCCTCTAGGTCAGACATAGTGCCAACATCGAAATCAGATATCATCATTGTTGCTATAACCATTTATATGAATTGTTGCGTGCTATCCATAACTAAAACAACCGGCAAATTAGAGTCCTCTTTTTGTAGTAGACACATTGTAAACATCCCACCATATTCTGACTTCATGGTTAAGCCACAATTTTAAATGTGAAAAATAGACAGGGCTTCTCCTCAAGCCCACACAATTAACCAATGTTATGGAAGTTATACCAGACAGGTCTTGGAAGTTTTCCTGCATTATATTAAGGCATATTTCCTTCTCTGTACAAGTTCTCAAACAAGCTTTTGAAAAAAACTTCAATAGACGAGGTGAAAGCATCATGAGGTATGAAGCAATCTTGTACTAGATGAAATAACTTTTATTTAACCAAGAAAGTAAAATTATGTTCCCTATTTGCCTAAGTGTAAGCCCCACCATATAGTGACCAAAATACAAATATCATCTCCCTAATGAAGTAAGAAGAACCATTAATTAAACCATGAGAAACTGCAGTCGCCCTCAATACTCCAAAAGCTCCTCCCTCTCACTCTTTAGCTCAGGGTTTCAGAGAATGATCTGCAGAGCCATACACACCAGGAAACACTCACCTTATCCCTATTTTAAGAAGTTGACAAAACAGGAAAGAGAATACCAGCCTTCATTAGTTCTCACTTTAAATACGAATCTGATATCGTTTAACATCAAGATGCCCGAAAAAATAAAACTAAATAAACTACCACTCCAAATATTCCCAGTCTCGTTTGCAATCATTTTCATGTGTATATCTTGAATGCACGAGACATGAGGACACCAACTTGTCACAGCCTGGTCTACAATTCTCTCTCATCTGGTTTGTTCAGAACCTAACATTCTAAGACAAAAGCTTGAGCTCCATAAGATCTTACTACTCCCATCCCCTAATTTTATTTTAGCTAAATAAAAGAAACCAAAAAAATTACTTGGTAAACATTAACTCGAAAATAGACCTTGAGAAACAGTTCTACAACAGACAAATACTTCTATTACTGAATAATGATATATAGTTTTACAAATGATAATCTGAGTTTTATTTAAGTTCCTGGAATTAGAGAGAATCAAAAGTCGTTCTCTATACAGATTAAGAAAATGTTAAAGCCTTGGGTATCATGCCATGAAAAAGCAACATATATTATGATTCAACTAAGGAAATCTAAAGGAAGGGAAATATAGAAAGTTCCCTAAATCTTGCATAATTTCGCCTCGTGGAAGTGCATTGCAATATTATCTCAAAGGCCCTCACCACTATCATGTTTTCCAATTAGCAATCTTCCTCATCTAGCACATCAAAGCCTCAAATTCCCATATGTTAAGCCCAAATAATTCGGTCATTCTCCCTGCTATCCAGTATAGACTTGGAAAATGGAAAGATTTGTACAATTTATATG